ATCTGGAATTCTTGTTTTTGCAAAATAAATTGATGCAATTTGCTATTATAGGCCTAATCAATAAATTCCTCATCAACTGATATAAACTTAAACATTCTTGGAATTGACATAACATACTGATGTTGTACACACCCTTGAGTGTGAAATGTGGCTCTCTTTGCAAGCACATCTAACATTTAAGGAAAGAAGAGCTTAGATTGGTACCAGATAAAATAATTTTGTTATCAACATTAATACATTATGCTAATTTTCATCTTTGTAAGCGTGTTATCTGTAGCTGCGTGTTTTCCGTGCAGCAAAATAATCTATTCGCACGCAACGCAAAACCGAAGGCAATGTAATTATTTGATGAGAGCAAATTTTTCTCGTGAGGTAGTTGAATACTGTAGATTATTTTTTCGGAATATAAAAATGCCAAATAAATAGAGAAGAAGAAAAATAAAAGAAAAGGAACTCAGAGAAGACGCAAAACGATGCAGGACGCATCGGAAAATTAATGATAACAATTTGATCTTTTAATAAAGAGCTATTTATTTTTTTATGTAAATATTAGGTAAGTTAAATTACCTTTAGTATTTAAAGCATAGTTTAAGTATTAGTTATTGAGAAAAATGATGAAGAAAAACTAAGTTAAAGAAATATATTAAAATATAAAATTGAAAGGAAAACAATGAAGAAAAACTAAGTTAAAGAAATATATTAAAATATAAAATTGAAAGGAAAACGTTAGAAAATAAACGCATACAAAATGTTACTTTAAGTAATTATATGTTCCCTATATCATTGTTTATTTTTCAATACAGTATATACATTTATAACTTTATTTTAAAAAAAAATTAAAAGTGGGACGATCCCACGAAAAAGAAAAAAAACCCATTTTTTTTAAATTATTAAATCTGAAATGCTCACAGGCCCGTATTCAGGAGTTCCGCAATCCAACAGGCTGGTGGTATGTTGAGTGGATATAGTCTGGTGTTGCCCAAAAACTACGTTTACAATTAGGCCTATTTTGTCATACTTGGTATTGAACTTAATGCACTAGAACGTAAAAATGTAAATTTTTCCCCTTTTGCGGCCCCCTAGCCCCAGCCTAGTTGCTCGCTTCACTCACAAATAACGCACCCCGCGAATTCTGAAAGCTTCGCTAAATTGCTCCGAGTTCAGCTTTTCCCCTGCGCTTTCGTTTCGACAACCCCACAGCCCTTAGATTTTTCACCGTACGCCCCTGTGGAGTGATGTCAATACGCGATGATATTGATACTGCGGTGTCTAGTGCGGTTATAATTTAAATCGATGAGCGGCAGCCTTTTTATAGGCTACGCCACGTGATGATCGGCGATGCTGCGGAGCGCTGTGCATAAAGGCCCTGTTACATAGTAGCGAATAGACCTAACGTATGCCGAGCGTTCTCATTTTTTCCCCTAAGCCCTGTCACATAGTAGCGAATAGACCTAACGTATGCCGAGCGTTCTCATTTTTTTCCCGATACGCTCAAATACGCTCAATTTTTTTGGCAAAAAAATAACATTTTTGCGTGAAAGACGAACGCCCAACGAATGAGAAACGTATGCTCATCGTACAACTAGCGTCCATTAAACGAAAAACAGCGCGTTCGCAGCGTTCGCCCAACGAATGTTCAGCGTACACAACGGATACCCAGCGAATGTCACACGTATGCCTAACGTATTGACGCCTTGTAAACGTTGATGTAGGTCGGTATACGCTGAGTGTTCGTTGGCCATTCGTTACTCATTAGTTAGACAAAAGCTATGAATACGTTATGTATTTGCTATGGCAACGTTTCAGACGGGATTGAACGTGTTTGGACGAACAACGGACGAACAGAAAACGTAAACCCAACGTGCGAAACGTTCAAACAACGAATGCTCACCGTATACATATCGTATGTAGCAGAACGTTGCCATACGTTCAAACTTTTGAACATGTCCACAAATTAAAATCGACCCCAGCGTACCTCAACGAACAGCTAACAAATACAACGTATGCCAAACGTATTACGAACGTGTCACGAACGATGTCAACTTACGCGAACGTAAACCAATATTTTGATAAACGTCGGCATACGTTGGTTCTATGCGCTACAGTGTGACAGGGGCTAAGGTAGACTATCGCTGGGCAACACGCTAAGCATTCGTTCGTGTAAGTAATAAAACTGTTCAACTTCTATTTAGTCAGAAAACCTCCGGAACAGAGAGGATAAAGCAGTAATCCTAAAATATCTTTAAAACGATAGAACAATTTCATTAAAAAGGATAAGTTATTCGTACATATACCAGAATAATTAAAATAAAAACCAAGAAAAAATTGAACAAATTCTTAAAATACAAAATTCAATGAAATCAATAAAAGAAGAGAACAGAATACCACTTAAATAGGAAGCAAAATAACAAACCGTGAAAATACTTAAACACACCAAAATACTACCAAACAAAGACGTATTATTTTATACTCGGTTCAAAATTCTTTTTGCAATTTCAGATAAAATATTATTATTATTATTA